CACTGACCGATGTCTCTCCTCACCCACTTTTCTGTCGTCTGTCCCCCTGGGAGGGGGTTATATGTAGATCATTGTGATTGGTTCTCCCTTTCTCCCCCACCTTCTCCTTACCCTCCTGGTATGACTACTCTCAATATTCATGTGAAGGGATCATCTGTCCTGGATTCCCTGTGTTTCCAGCTCTTACCTGTACCCATGTACATGCTCTGGTCTAGCCAGATTTGTAAGGTAGAATTGGGGTCATGATAGTGGAGGGGTGGTAGGGGGAGGAAGCATTAAAGAGCTAGAGGAAAGTTGTATGTTTCCTCGGTGCTATGTTGCACTCTGATTGGCTCATCTCTTCCTTGTGACCCTTTGGTAAGGGGATGTCCAATTGTCTACAGGTGGGCTTTGGGTCAACTCATATTGATATGATTTTTTTTGTTCTGAGTCTTTGATGCCTGATCCCATCGACACTTTCTGATCGCACAGGCTGGTGTGTTTCTTTCACGTGGGCTTTGCTGCTTCTTAGCTAGATGGTTGCTTGTTTGCCTTCAAGAGGCTGTATATTTTCACGTAAGCAAACTGCCTGATCTGTCTCTTGCTAAGCGGCTGGTGGATTTCGAACTGCTGATTTTGTAGTGAACAGTGTCCAGAGAACCTTGCAATCCCTGGTAGCCTCTGTCCTCCTTGCTGACTGTGACATTGCCTATGAAGGTACCTCGTACACTAGATGGACGTTTGAGTCCGGCTTCTTCACTCAGCATCATGTTTCCAAGGTTAATCCACCTGGCAGTGGCAGTGCCCCCGTTCCTTTTCATGACTGAATACTATTCCATTTCACAGCACAGATCCACCACATCGTAGTGTGCCTCCGTTGGTGGGCACTGGGACATTTCCACCTTTGGCTCCTGTCAATCACAGTGCAATGTGCATATCTGAGCCTCTGATTTCAAATCTCCTGGGGACTCATCTCCACCTGCCATGGTGACTTCTTGGGTCCCAGTACTATGACACACATAAGACAGTGCCTACATGGTTTCTGTTTCTGTGTTTGTGAGCTGCCCCTACGTGTTTCCCCCTGGGCTGCATGCCGTCTTGCTGGGTCCTTTGCAGCCGTCTTGCCGGTGCCGTAGGTTGTGTGGTGCCAGGCAAATGTGCTGCATGGCAACTTTTTAAAAGTGTTAGAAGCAAAGCCATTCCCTTGGGGACGGAGGTATGTCCGCCTCCAAACACGGCGTTTTCAATGGCCTCTTCCTTACGCAGTGACAGTGGATAAGGAAAATGCAGGAAGAACGGATGCCTTTGAGTCCGCGTGTTGGGGGAGAACATGAAGCAGCGTGGACTGCCAGAAGCACACAACCGTGGTGCTGAGGAAATGCTGTCGGAATGCTCACTCGGGGGACGGCGAGGCTGTCGCCGGAGATGTGCTTTGGACACACTCTCAGGAAGGACCAGTCCCCACGGAAAGACATCGTGCCTGGTAGCGGCCAGCACACAAGAGGTAACCCTTTCACCAGACTGCCGCAGGGACTGCAGCCATGGCCTCCGACAGATCGCTAGGAGGACGGTGTCAGACGGGGCAGTGCTGTGTTTGTTGTACACAGGCCACCACGAGTCTGAATGGACTGGACAGGACTTACCAACAATTTTTCTAGAAACCGATTTTTAAAAAAATCCCACTTTCATGAAGCTGATTCTAACTCCAAATGACCCTACAGAGCAGATGCATTTAACCAGCCTCTGTTGGACCCCTAGGGAACCTGATGGCACAGAGCTTAGAGCACCCAGCCACGCACCAAACAGCCGGTAGCTTGGCCCACAGGTGACGCCAGTGGAGGCAGAGGGGGCATCTGTTCCTGTCAAGAGGATCCCCTGGACAGCCCTCGGGGCAGTTCTACTCTGTCTTTTCCAGTGGCTCTGAGTCAGAGTTGATTCGACAGCAATGAATTTGTACTTTATTTGCTTAGGGGGGGTCGCTGTGAATAACATTTATATAATCACCATACTGTACAGACTAAATATTCTTTCACTTAAAAGAAAGGATATAATTATGTCATAAGGGAAGGCAGGGAACATTAAGAGTAGAGTGTGTCTGTGTGTGTGTTTATAGCAAAATTAAGATTGGAGAAAATTGGAGGATTGGAGAAAATTGGAGAAAATTTCACCTTCTATAGTTTTCAGTCAATAGATAATGTCCAAAACTGAAAATGTTATAAGCATGTGACTGAGCCTTAAGAAGGTAAATACAGGAAACTGAGTGGGGCGGGCTGGACAGGGTTTGCTGTGACCTTGAACCAACACAAACGCACCTACAAGGGCAACACCCCCGCAGGTCGGGAGTCAGCAAGGGGGAGGGCGAGCCGGTCCGGACACTGCTGTGTTTTATTCCAGCCTGCTGGATTATGTGCAGAGACCGGAGTAAGAAAACCGACAGGGAGGAATATGCACAACCTTTCTGAAAGAGAAAGAACTAAAGAAAACAAAAATCCAAGCCTTGAGTTGAAAGATGGAAAGATTCCGGAGCAAACATTGACGAGCCTGGGAGCCACCCAAGGAAAAGTGCAGGAACACACGGAGCTCACAGTCCCCGAAAGAACGGCTGTGGAGCGACCATTCCAGGAGGTAGAGGTTGATCCAGACCAGACGACACTGTGGGGAAGACCCAAGGGGCACCACAGGCACTGTGGAGAAGCAAGGCTCTGGGAGGTGATGGGAGACCAGTGGAAATTTTCACCAGATGTAGGTAACACTGGCAATATTCTCCTCTGTGCTCAAGAATCTGCGAGACAGCTACCTGGCCAACGGACTGAAGACATCCATATTGTTGCCCGTTATCAAAGAACAGTGATCCACAGAATGCAGGAGTGATCAAACCCTTTCGCTGATGCCAAATGAAAGTTAAATTTTGCTGGAGACAATGAAAACTGGTTGCAGCGTTCCGTCTGCAGGAAGCTGCCAGAATTTGAACCCAAATCCAAGCTGGATCAGAAGAGGTTCTGTAAAGAGGGATATCGTTGCTGGAGTCAGATGGACCTTGGCTAAAAGCAGAGAGAACCAGAAAGGTGTTTACCTGCATTTCTGCATTCCGTTCCATATGCAAAGGCCTTTGACCGCGTGGATCATAAGAAATTACAAATTGCATTGCAGAGAATGAGAACTCCAGACCCTTTAACAGTGCTCCTGGGGAACTTCAGGTACACCAAGAGGTAGAACAAAGGGCTGCCGCATGGCTTCAAATCAGGACAGGTGTGTCAGGGGTCCATCCTTCCACTCTCCTTCTTCGACCTGCATGCTAAGCAAATTATCTGAAAAGCTGGCCTATATGAAGAAGAATGAAGCAAGGGGCTTGGAGAAAGGCTCACTAACAGCCTGTCCTACACAGATGACACAACTTTACTTGCTAAAAGCCAGGAGGACTTGAGGCACCTACTGATGAAGATCAAAGGTTACAGCCTTCAGTATGGACCCCACACCAGCGTAAACACACAAACAATCCTCACAACGACACCAATAAGCATCATGATAAACAAAGAAGACCCAAGTGGTAAGGATTCCAGTTTACTTGGCTTCACCAGCAATGCCCATGGGAGCAGCAGTGTGACTGCACTGGGCATATCCGCTGCAAAAGAGATCTCTGCAGCGTGTAGAAAGCAATGATGTCACTGAAAAGGTGGGCCTGGCACAAGCCGTGGCGCTACTGATCACCCACCAGGCCCGTGAGGATGGGCCGATAACTAAGGAAGACTGGAGAAACGCCGGTGTCTGCCTCACGGGGCTGGGAAAGAAGAGGACAGGACCCGTGGGAGGCCAGAGAGCACACAGATCTGTCTTGGGAGAATGCAGCAAGGTGCTCCTTCACCTCGAGCTGTTCCTTCTTCTCCTGTGCTGCGACATGGCATCAGGAGGGAGGGACATCGTGGGATGGGGACATCGTGGGGCATCGTGGGACGGGGACATCACAGGATGGGGACATCGTGGGATGGGGACATCATGGGACAGGGAGGGACATCATGGGACAGGGAGGGGCATCATGGGATGGGGACATCACAGGACGGGGACATCACAGGACAGGGACATCATGGGGCGGGGACATCATGGGACGGGGACATGAGGGGACGGGGACATCAGGGGATGGGGGCATCAGGGGATGGGGACATCATGGGACAGGGACATCAGGGGACAGGGATATCAGGGGACGGGGACAGCAGGGGACGGGGGCATCAGGGGACGGGGACATCACAGGATGGGGACATCATGGGACAGGGACATCGTGGGATGGGGACATCAGGGGACGGGGACATCATTGGACGGGGACATCATGGGATGGGGACATCACAGGATGGGGACGTCATGGGACGGGGACATCGTGGGACAGGGAGGGACATCATGGGATGGGGACATCATGGGGTGGGGACATCATGGGA